TGGGATTTCAGAAGTGGGGGTTTCCGAAATGGGGGGGACCCTAATAGAGTACCCTAAATAATATAATAGGAGCCCTATTATAAGGACCCCAAAATAAGGTACCCTAATTTTCTGAAACTCCCAAGTGGGTTTAGGGTTTAGGGTTTAAGCCTTAAAAATAACCAATACTATTTTTGGGGGGGAGTTCCTTATTGTAATTATAGTATAATGGGCTCGATAGTACGTTTCAGGATTTAGGCTCTCTCTGTGTCTCTCTCGCCGTCCTCAGGAAAGACCCTAAACCCTAAACCTAACCACTAAACCCCTAAACCCTGAACCCTAAACCCCTAAACCCTAAACTGGAACCCTCAGCGCTCCCCTAAGCCCATGCCCTACCCAGTCATCGCGAAGGATTAGGGTTTAGGGTTTAGGGCCATATCGCCCACCTACCCTAAACCCTAAACGCTAAACCACCTACTACGGTTGATGATGGAACTCCTGCATTCCCTTAAGGACCCTGAACTATAGGAATTTTGGTATATTCCCTACTATGGGAACTTCAGGATTTATATCATCAACCGTAGATCCCGGCACCCTAAGCCCCGAGCCTTCACGATCACCATGGTCGCCCCTTCATGAAGACTTTCACTGGGTCCTTGTCAGCTACAATTTTACATTTTGTTGTGCTCTTCCGATCATTTTTGCGATAACTTGGCGCTCTTCTGCTACATGTTTCCGACAACTTGACGATCTTCTGGTTCATGTGTCCGATAACTTGGCGCTCTTCTGGTTGGATCTTAGGACTTCAACTTTTTGGGGTTCTACATGAACGATAATAGGTAGGCTAAAAGTTTAACCCGTAGGAGGGGTTCAGAAGTCAGCCGAGATAATGACACCCAATAAGGGTTTAAACCTGATCATTGTTAATATAGCCCCAACGAAAAACCTGTTCAGATTAGTGCGCACTTGCTACGTTCCCTGAGTCTCTTCGTACCTGGAGGATCGGGGAAGTTTAGTATTTCTGCGGTACATGAGGTTATGACTGGGATACGCTTAGTTAGGGTACTTACCTACACCTAAACTCTCCTGTAGCAGAGTCTGCTTCTTTGCAAGGTCCCTGTAACATCTGTTCCGGTACCTACAAGCCCACTTGCTAAGTCCCCCATAAGCCCCTAACCTAACCGCCCCCCAACCTCTGAACCCCAAATACTAAACCCCCTAAACCCGAGACTCGAAGCCCCCTCAAAATCCGAAACTCTAAGCCCCCCAAACCCCGGACCTCTAAACCCCAAAAACCCGAAACTCCAAACGCCTAGACTCTCAACCCTAAACCCCTAAAACCCGAAACTCTAAGCCCCTAAAGTCCGAACCCTAAACCCTAAACCCTAAACCCCGAAGTCACCGGGTCCCCTGATCCTCCGAGGTCTTGCGCAGCCTTCTGCCGGAGCAACGTATTCCGAGCGCCCTCGCCTTGAGCCAGGCGGGGGCGGGGGGGCGATTCTTCGTACATGTTAAGAATATCAGGGTTTAGGGGCTTTAGGGGCTTCTTTGGGGGTTTAGGGTTTAGGGTTTATATAGGGTCTAGGGTTGGGGGGTTTAGGGTTTAGGGGTTTAGGGTTTGGGGTTTATTTAGGGTTAATATTAGGGTTTAGGGTTTAAGGTGATATTTCTTAATACGAAAGGAACGAAGGGCTCAAATAATGAGGCAAGGATTTTGTAGGGTTTGTAGATCTTCATAAGGGAGACTACCTTATAAACACCTGTAAAGCCCTCTGAGATCTCGTATAAACTCCTTAAAAAAAGTAACGCATTTGGAGAGCCTTTGCGAACCTCTGTCAACTCACAACTCGAGGTGACCCGCTACCGAGATAAACGGCAAAAGAAGCCCGCATGAAATCGAACAAAGCACCCTTGTCAAAACCATGATGAACTGAACTAATCGAACAAAGCACCCTTGTCAAAACCATGATGAACTCCTGTGCTGAAAACCCTGTATATTTTTGGAGGACCTTATAACAACCCTGACAGAATCCTTACAACAACCCGTCTGGAGCCCCTAGAACCCCGTTTTACATTCACAAGTCGAACCCCCCAGAGAAACCCTATCACACCCTTCTGAACCCCTTTAAGTTCACAAGTCGAGGCGTGCCTAAACCCTCATAACATCCGTCATAACAACCCTTAAAAGGCCCCTATATAGCACCCTTAACGTACAGTCACAAGTCAAGTGTGGCTAAACCCTTCAACATATCTTACAGAACCCTCATGACAACCCTTGTCGAGCCTGTTAGAACCCCTTCGAAGTTCACAAGTCAAAACCCCTTTGGTTTGACTTTCTTGTATCTATATACATCTGGGAGTTTCCGAAAATAAGGGTACCTTATTTTGGGGTCCTTATAATAAGGATCCTATCATTTAGGGTACTATATTAGGGTCCCCTTTTTTTCGGAAACCCCCATATATATATACACACACACACATCTACATATAGAAAATGAGCTCCTTTCAGATTCACAAGTCGAGGTGTGCCTTGCTTCCTTGGCTCTTCTGGGCGTCTCGGTTGCGGCCGCTTTCGCCCTGCGCCGGCGGCCGACGCTGGCAGAGCCGCTGCTCGCGTGACCGAGGGCCCGGGAGAGCCCAAGGGCCCCCTTCATACTAAAGGTCTCCGTTAAGGAACGGTTTAGGGTTTAGGGTTTAGGGGTTGAGGCTTTAGGGTTTAGGGGTTTAGTGGTTTAGAGTTTAGGGGTTTAGGGTTTTAGGGGTTTAGGGTTACTAAAGGTCTCCCTTAAGGGAGACCTTAAAGGAATTTTGAAAGGAGCCCGTAAAGGTTCCCTTTAAAAGGATACGTACTATGGCACTTATCTGCATGAGACGTAATAGGAGGGTTTCTATAAGGGTGCTGTATGGGTTGTTATACTACGGTTAAAGGTAGCTTTAGTAGAGCTGTAGGGAGATATAACCAAGTATAGTTACCTTACTTAAGACCCCTGCGTATTAAATTCTCTGATCCTCCAAGTAGTCATGAGGGTTACTACAAGGATACTATATGGGTTATGCGGGCACTACAAGGGTTGTTGTGAGGGTACCGTAAGGATTGCTATGAGGATAGGGCTGGCGAGATGCATCTTTGTGCATCTACGTTGTGTTCATGGTTTTGAGTAGGCTTTTTGGATTTTGTTTGTGGGGCTTCAAGACTTTAGGGCTAGGGGCTTTAGAACACTACTCCCCTGACCCTAAAACACCAAGCCCTGGTTCCAGCGCGACCCTGCAAGCATCGGAAAAGCTGAGATACTTGTGGTGCAGCCCGCGGCTCAAAGTTAGGCTGCCGAAGAATCCGGAGGAACCCAAACGTCGGTTGACAGTCGAGTTGCTGAGTAGCAATTAATTCTTGGCGCACCTCTGGTTGGCTCTTAGGACTTTAACTTTTTGGGTTTCTATATCAGCTGTAACAAGTAGGTACAAGTTTAACTTTTAGGAGGAGGTCAGAAGTAAGCCAACAATTAGCATCATGGCCTTGAAAAGCAGGGGGCTTAGGACTGGGACGGAATAGGGTTCAGGGAGTAATTAGTTTTGCTTTGGGGTTATATCATACCATTGTACGGAGCAAAAGAACAAAGGTCATTCGGCCGGGTCCCTAGGATGATGGCAGCTGCTGTTCATAGGTCGGAGTTGACGGCTACCCGAAACCCTAAACAAACAAAACAGTTTGGGGCTGAAGGGGTTTTAGAAATGGTTTCTGTTACTCCCCAAACGGGTTCCTGTTACTCCGCGCACCCGGTGTTTAGTCCTCGATCTCATGGCCTAAGGACTTCACCTAGGTGACTTTGTTCGACGTTTCTCGGGATCCTCTTTCGCACAGACCGCTGAGATATCATCTTCCATGTCCAGCGCTTAGTCCTCGATGGGCTTGCATGCAGTATGCAGAGGGGGCATCGTGAGATCGGGGTTTAGGCTTTATGTTCAGGAACGTAGCACAAGCTACCAAAAGCAAGGGTATACGGCGAGTAGGATGCTTTCCTGATGGGGTACCATCGATTGCTAAGTTTAGCTCCTCATCCAGAGACCAAGGCAGGATTGCGTATGTAAGGACCCGCCCGAATCCTAAATCCTGAACCCCAAGAAGCACAAAAAAACACGAAACCGGCCCCCCCAATGTGGGCATGTTGCCTGCAAGCGCTTATCTTCAAGTGGCTGTTATTTGATTATAAATTATAAATGGCCATGATAAAACGCAAGGCCCTAAATCTTAAGCCCGCAATCCTACACCGGTGAAGCCCGCAGCCGAAAGCACCGAAGCTTTTCTGCCCTAGTGCCGTTAACAACATCCTCTAACAGTCCGAGGCTTCTTCTGGGTCTTTGAAGTTGTAGGGTGTAGTGACTAGGACGGCACGCCTTCAGTGATACTAGGGTTTATGTCATGTGTATTTAAAATAGCACTGCAAGGGAGTATTAAGACTGTTGTTTGTATTTTGGTTCCAAGCCCGCGATTTTGAACCTGGGTTTAGGGTTTAGGATTCCATGGTTTTGGCTCCGTCTCGAGATGTTCATTGTCATGGTGGTACCGACTGTAGGGTTTCTACATTAATGGATTTGTTGAAACTCCCCAACACTCACCCCACAACTCCAACAGAAGGGGCTCAGGCTTCAAACACCATAATATAGGAGCCTTAATGAGCAGAATACGGTTTTGCATTGTTCTCTGAGTACAATGGGAGCCCTTGTGGAACAATACGTGGAATTATTGACGCTTCTATGTTATACAAACCCTCCACCACGCAGAAGTCCAAAAGAGCTAAAGCTCATGCTGTAGAAGCCTGGATGATTAGTGATCCCCCCCGTCGGGGTCATTACAATGTTAGCACCAGTATTCTCAAGGATCGTTTTTACAGTGCTGATACAATGAAGCCTAAACCCATCTCGGTCTCTGCGTCGCCTTGGCGGGCGGTAGCAGCTCGTCTCCTTCTGGCCCCGTGCAAACGACCAACCACTTCTTCGGAGAAACAGCGCGAGGTTGTTCCTTTGCCTTGCCAAAGTATCATTTAACAGAACCCTAAACCCCCTAAACCCCTAAACCATAAACCTTTTGGGAGTCTAAGGTAAGCCATATAAGACAAGTTTCAATATATTTGGGCCGGGCCACTGCAAGGAAAAAGACTTACTTGGTGCGCCTCAGGCCCAGCAGCCCCGGATTGGCTTTCGGGTCCCGTACGGAGACTAACAAACAGATAGATATAGATATAGATCTCGATATATCGATGCAGACTCAGGTATAGATAGACAGCTCGTTAGATGGATAGAAACTAGACAGATAGACGGATAGACGGTATACCCGGGATAAACGGATAGACGGGATAGACGGACAGACGGGTAGACTTATAGACAGACAGAAGGACAGATTGGATTGTTTACCCAGCTAACGCACCTAACGACATACCTACCTAGCTACTACCTTCCCTGCCTCCCTCTGCCACCTGCCTACTACTTACCGACCTACCTACCTATCTACTTACCTACCTACCTTCCTTCCTTCCTACCTACCTACCTTTCGCACCTTCCTGCATTCCTCCCTACATTAAACCGTGAGCCCTAAACCCTAAATCCTAAACCCTAAATCCTTAACCCTAAATCCTAAAACCCTAAACCCTAAAACCCTAAACCCTAAAACCCTAAACCCTAAAACCCTACAGCCCTAAACCCTAAACCCTACCTGTCAAGCAAAGGACTCGGATCCACCCCCAAATCCGTGTTGACGGGGCCTGTGGTCCAACGACCAACTGCTGTACGGTTGGTGATATAAGCCCTGCATTAACCATAATGAGGAACGGTTTAGGGTTTAGGGTTTAGGGTTTAGGTGGAATATCCCTTGATTCCCATAGTTTAGGGTCCTTAAGGTAATGCAGGATGTATATCAACAACAGTATCTTAACCTGCCAAGCAGCTGAGTTCTCCAATAACCCAACCTTTCTCCTTGTTGGGGTCCGTATAGCTTAGTAGGTGGGCCGGTAAGGTAGTCGTTTTTTGTGGGCCACAAGTCAACTTTGTCTCAGACCCTTTGCAAAGTGAAAGGCCTAACATACTGGAAGGCACATCTTCACTCAGAGCCTTGTTGCTACACCCTCGAAAGACATAAACCCGAAATCAAGCGGCGACACAGGTGGACCTGAATCTAGCCCATAGATCTTGAAGCTGCTAGGAAAAGCCTGACTTAAGCGCCAGCGTTTGTATATCGCTGGGCTAAAGTCCCATACCCACGGTGCAAAGCATAACGAGCCCTCCCGAACCCGAACCCTCAACCCCCCCCCCCCCATCTTCAAAAATGGGCTCGAATCCGAACCCAAACCGGGACCTCCCCACCCTTCCCCATTCTAGTGCAAAGCCCTTAACGCTCCTAATGCTTTGACATCCGCAACCCTGGACCCCAAACCCTGCTCAACCCTGAAGCCCTACTGCAACGGCTTCATTCTCGACCCTGATCCCCCCAAAAAAAATCAGGAATCGCATTCCTCGGGGCTAGAGCTTAGAGCTTCAAAAGCTCTAGCGTATTCAGACCCCAAACCCATGAAGTACTACAGGGGCCTAAATAACCACCTATACTATTTGTTTTGTTTTTTTTTGGAGGGGGTGGCTTTTTACAGTTATAGTAGACTGGGCCCCAAAACCTTATTCAAAAAAATGCATTAAGGCCCCTATATTACCCTTCTAGAATGCTGGGGGGGAAACCTTTGTAGACACTCTGACTTGGCCCGATATCAAACCCGGAACCCGAGCTCATGTTGGCACGGGCTTGGGAAGGCAGATCGAGGCCAACGACGTTGCCAGGGCCCCCTGCAAACGGGTTCGAAGGATTCTTGGCGTTCTTCTGGTTGGCTCTTAGGACTTTAACTTTTTGGGTTCCTGTATGAACTGTAACAAAGTCGGCTGAAAGTTTGACTTTTAGGAGGGTTTCAGAAGTCAGCCAAGGATGGTCTAGGCAAGAAAAGGACTTCAAGATTGGAGATGGGGCTTCGCCATATTATCTTAGGAGGTCAATAGGTATTAGGCCCCGACTAAAATTAAAAGAAAAGTTTCAAACCTTGTCTTGGGCCAGGGTATTGAATTGGGCGTAAAGGTTATAGTAAATTGTTTGCAGGACCCTCAGGTTATAACCCTAAACCCTAAACCATAAACCCTAAACCCTAAACCGTAACCATATATTGGGTTTCGGGGCTCCAGGGTCGGGGTTGGGGACCGTACGACGTTCCACACCCGCGAAGCTGTCCCCCTGACAGATGCATGTTCGCTTTCCCTACACCCAGACCCCCAAAAGGATCTAAAAGATAGATCCCCTAAGGGGGTTCCGATAAAGTACCCTTTAGTAGTTAGGGTCCCTAATTAGGGGATCTATTTTTTAGATCCTTTTGGGGGGTCTGGGTAATCATCCCGCTAACACCAATTTGTTTATTCGTGCGCCCGTCAGTCCCTGCAAAATTCGACCTGCTCCCGGTTTCATGTGCCCGACGCCCCGCTGCAGTTCTGCTATACACCCAAAAAATTCCACTGCCGCTCTATGGCTGAGATGGGCTTCTCAAAAGGCTGCAGACCCTAAACCTTGAACCCTGAACCCTTAACCCTAAGCCCTG